CATCAGATCTTTTGAAGGGTGCAATGAGGTGTGAGGAGATAAGTTAGGTGTAAAAGGACAAGCCCATAAGCTAAGTAGATAAACACAGGCTTGTCCCTGCCTGAATGATCCCCCACCCCCACTGCCCAGCCCCTTTGCAAGGGGACAATCACTATTATATATAAATTAGTTTTTGAAATGGGGTGCCACTCAATTCACAAAAGTTATGCAGCGATGCCTCGAGTCCAAAAAGGTTGAGAACAACTGCACTGCTGTCTTTTAGAAAACAGATACAATTAAAGTAACGAGCAAAAAATAAAAACTGTGTAGAGCACATCCTGGGCCTTATCCTTAGACACATAAGTGTAAGCCTACTCCACCTTGCTCAAGTCCCTAAAAAACAAACAATTAACACAAAACATGGATGGGTTCTTCTTCTTACTGCTTTACATGCTGCCTTCATATTGAAGCTAAACTCCGTTAGTAGGTGCACAACATTATTACATCTACTTAGGAAACTAACAGGTGGTGGAACAGGCTCTGCCCATAGCAGTCCACATCACACCAGACTGGATTAAAAACAGAACAAACCTAAAGAAAAAAAAGAACCCCAAAACCCAAGACAAGCAGTCACACTAACATGTGCTTCCTTCTCCTGCTCTGTCTTCCCCAGCTTTTCTAGATTCCTAAGGCTTAAGTAGAGGCTGGAAATGCTATCTGGAGAACTAAAGCTCCGGTTGTTTTAGACACTTGCCAGATTTAAACACTAGAGACCAGAACCTATTCCACCTATTACACATTAGTTTGATCTCATTCTACCCTGTTCCAATTCCCTGAATAACAGCTAATACAAAACATGGATGGACAGCCTCCTGCTTTTCTTGACTTGGTCATAAGGCTAAGATGATGGCATGTTACAAAAGTAAATGTGTTAACATTTAATTTAGAAATGAGCAGGGTGAAATAAGATCACACATTAGGTACCTAATAGATAGAATAGGATCTAGCATATTGACCTAAATTATTTAATAAAAATCCATTAAACGAGTGCATAAATGTAATATAAATATTTGATTTGATATCTGCTGAATGATTTGCTTGATCTGATGCTGTCTCTTATTTATTTTCGCTGTATATTGATAATATTCTATAATCCAAAAATTCACTTGACAAGAACATATCCCCCAAAGGTTTTGAGTTAATGGAGCATGTAGCTGGGGTATTTGTCTCATACATTTTTAAATATTATTTGCCTAAGAGAAGATAAAAAAATATTAGAATATTTGGATTTCAGCTGCAAAAGGAGGAAATGAGTAACTTACACCAAGGAGTGCAACTTCAATATACAAAAGATAGTGTTTTGAATAATGGCTTTTCAGATAGATGTCTGGTTAGAGGCATTTTACCATCTACTGTATATATCTATATGCAGGATGGATATATGAGTGTGCTTTGTCCTGTTTTATTAAGATAAGAAATAATGGATGAAATAAAATTATACTTGCTCCATTTTACTTGTTCATCTCCATTAAAATCAGAATGGGTCATTAGGAGGAACAGCAGAAGGTAATCCCGTCCAGACAAAGCTAAAACGTGAATTAAGACGGCAAACACAGCAATAAAGAACGTATCCCGCAATGTGCTGAGTGCATTCAACTTCTACTAAAATCCTTCAAGTATAATTACTTAATAAATATAGGCCTATTTTGACTAGGAAAAAATAATGAAACTTATCTTAGATTACCTGTTTATAATTGTATTGGGTCACAGTCAATTTTGCTATTTGTATATCAGTTTAGGACAGCTGACTTCTTTGCCTGACTAAATATTGTCTGGAATGTCTCATCAGACATTGTCTGATGTCCTATCAGCTGATAGTATTCACATACTACTGCACCTAGACCTTTATTATTACCTCTGACAGGTTTCATTTTCTTAGGCTAAAGTTCTCTCCTGTTTCCAAAAACGTATTCACATTCTGTGTATGCATCACCACGCTGTACAAAAAGTAATTAAAGCAATATTGTGTTTATAATTGTGTTCACCTTTGCTGAAATGAATGATTTTTAAAATAAAAATGCATCTATGGCTAAAATACTGACAGTTCAGTGAATGAACTTTTATATACAAAGTCCAATCGAAATAGCTAAAGATGACAAATAGGTATTCACGTAATGACCCTACAAAGACTTAGGTGAGTGTTTAACTATACATGCAAGTAACTCCGCTGACTTCTAGGGAGCTACCCATATACATATATTTAAGTAAGGTTTAAGTCATAGTTAGGACCCAAGGCCATCAAATTCATTCTTGCTCATGAAAAGGACATAATCCCATAATGGAATAAATGTCACACTATTAAACAAATATGCTGACTGATAATATTTTGGATTTTAACCAAAAACATCAATTAATTTATACATCCTTAAATAATTTTCTTAGAAGCCGGAGAAATGTAGCTATGTTAAACTCAAATTTATAGGTCTCCAGGGCTAAATCATACGTTAAAATTATTTGTATTTTTTATTCCCATCCCCAAAGGACCTTTGTCTTACAAAAGACAGCATAATAGTTGGTGAAAATTTGGCATCTCTTGGAAAAGGGAACACAGAGCGAGTCCTGAATACACAGAAGGATGAGCACGAGTAGAATTGTGAAGAAAATTTACACAGCACCTGTCAGACCTATTCTTGCTCTAATCACAGCTATTTGTTCAACACTTTTGCAAGGATGGCATTTACAGTAAGTTTTAATGACAAAATTAACTATGAAATACTTTTATAGCATAAATGAGCTGAACTGAGCTCCAATACACAATTCAGAATAAAGCTTTTCAATAGAGCAGTAAGTCATGTTAACTACAAGCTACACGATGTGAAATGTTTTAATCAAAGCAGTGCAGCGATTTCAAAGTACTTATGGACACAAATATCCACCTACAAGCTTCCAAAAAAGATGTATGTGTTCTATAAAAATGAGAGTTCCACAGTCTTCCTCTAGAAAACAGGAAACATAAAGGCCGCAGTAAAGAGAAAGATTGAGAGAGAGTGAGAAATAATTAGAGCAAATGGAAATCAGTTATAAAACTTATGCAATAAATAATGAATCTCAAATAGTTTATCCGCTGACAATCAAAGTCCTTCTGGAATAAAGAAATTACAAACTTTAAGGGCTATTATTTTTTTCTGAAAATAAATACAGGGTGTGAATAATATTTTTGAGTTTTTGACAAGCAAACCAATCAGTTCAGTTACTTCTCTGGAGAATCATGCTCTGTTTGCCTCAAATCATTTTCAAGAATGACTGTGTGCATAGGCATAATTGTTCATTATGAAAAAAAGCCTATACTATATTATCCTGAAGATATCATCTATTTTATATATACACAAGGCATGTCACTGAGAAAAAATGTTACATAACGCCAATATTAATTAAAACTACTTTCTAGTGAAAGACTGAGAAATCAACAGAAAAAAAGAAAAATTTCAAGTCCAACTGAAGTTAATGGTAATGTTCCCACTGACTTGCATAGGGCTGGTACTTTTTTCCAGGTCTACATTATGACTCACTATAACTCACTACTACTTCAACTATTATGCTGCCATATACTAGATGTTCTAGGGACATGTCTACACTACTTGGCAGGCTAAATTACCATACACTGAATTCTGCGTGGCTGGAGCAACACTGTGATTAATGCCCAAGCTACTTGTTAAACTTAGCTCAGGCACTAGCAAGGGTGGGCAAAATGTGGCCTGGGGACTGGATGTGGCCCGTCAGGCCATTCTATCCGGCCCGTGGGGCCCCTAAAAAAATTTAGAAAATTAATATTTATCTGCCCTGGGCTGCCTGTCATGAGGCCCTCAGTGGCTTGCCAAAACTCAGTAAGCAGCCCTCTGTCCAAAATAATTGCCCACCAGTGCACTGGACTGTGGTTCTGCAGCTTAGATATATCCTCAGCATGATTTGAATCACTCAAGTTTTCCATCAATAAAAACTCCATTGCTTCAATGTGAGTGAGCGTTTACAGCACACTTACTAGGAGATGAATTAAGGTTTATTTTTTCTCATGCCTTGAGCTCCCCCACTACTAATACAAAGTTAAGCTATTTTCAAAACAGTTTACTCGGTTGAGTCATTTTCAGACTCTTTGAACATACACACTACTTTCTTGGACACAGCTTTATAATATCATAAGAAACCTACAGAGATTATACCATACAATAACCCTGTCCATCTGACACAGATTTCTGACACAGTTCACACTGACCTGATTAACACTATCCCATCAAGAAAAATAACTGCAGCCTGTAGCATGCATGTACCTTGCACTATATTTTGGGAGATTTTCTGGGAGCAGCAGCTGCATAGTACCAGTCTGCAGCAAACTCTGCTAGAGCCCTGTCCAGACTACAAGTATATCAAATAGCCATTCCTAAACCAAATGTAATTAATCACCTATCAACTGCTGCTCTTTAACACAACTCTAAGTGGGTTTTAATGGTACAGATTTCACTGAAATAACAGTAACAGCTTTTAAACCATTACCTTCTTCGTCATGACTGTGGACTTTGTTTAATAGACCTTGTACCGAAACTGAGTACTCACTGGGGACCAGCAGGCCTATAAAATCATATTTTCAGATAGGCCTCTACTGGCAATTTTGGGGAATCTCCCATTTTTGCATTAGCATCAGTGCAGACACCAGTTTGGACTGGCTACCAGTGCTCTAACACTGTATCGCAATAACAAAAACAGGCCCTTATGCCTGTCAATTTTTTTTATTACTACTAAATCTATTTCAAATCCTGTCAGAAATGGAAACAATCTTTGTTACAGATGCACTGGTCCTACTATCACATGCAATGTGCTTCAGGAAAAATAAGATGGCCACGAAGTAAGATGTTAAAATGTGCCTTGTATTGTTCATCAAAGCTCGTCACTTTTAAAATCCTGCAGATAAAAAGGACACATTTCAGACAGATGCAGATTAAAAACTGTCAAACACATGAAACTCTTACCAGGAACGGACTCCAGCAAATGCAAGACACGCACATTATAGCCAATAGCTGAATGATCATTTCAAAATGATGAGATCTGCCTTGTCTTTGTTGACTTTTAAATTTAACTCTTAACAGAGTAACTCCTGTCACCGCATTGCACAAGAATGAAATGGCAAGGGCCAGTAACCCAAGGCAAGAAAAAAGCAAGAGATAAAATCTGTCTTCCCAGTCCTCAATATGTTCTGTTTTATAGAAACACCAGGTCCGTGATGCTTGAATTTGATAGGCTCTCAACCTAAGAATAGGCAGAAAAGCAATAAAAACAGCAAAGAGACATACCACAGTCAACATCATTTTCACATGTTTAGAAGTCATTTTTGTAGAATGAAATATTGGCTTAGTGACGCCAATGCAGCGTTCAACCGCCATCACACTACCCAGGAAGAGAGGGCACAAACCAAAGAATACCATGCATATGCCAAAAACACTGCAAAGAACGTTTGACTGATTAAATCGAATCCAGTCTTTATCAGATGCATACACGAACACTGCAATGGTTCCATTGATGAGATGGCCAAAGAGGTCGGTGACAACCAAGCCACTTGCAAAAAGCAAAAAGGATGCTTTTGATTTCTGTCTAAATCTCTGATATGCCTTCATGAGAATCACTATTGCCAGACTGTTCGACAAAATCCCCACTGTCATGAAGATTACGGAAAAAAATACCGAAATCTTTTTCTCTGTGTGGCAGGTCGTATTTTTAAAGATTCCGAATCCAGACGGGACCGGCGGTTTTGAACCGTTCATTGTTGGGAAAGGAGACGCAGAACTCAAACCATTTCAGCAGCCGTGCAGTCAACACGCATCTGTAACATTCAAAGAAAACACACGCGTGTTACGAAAGGTGGGCTGCTGTCCCACCCGCACCCGGAGCCCAGGCTGTGCTCAACTCCGACAGGTGTGCGAGGTGGCATCCCATCTGAGGGCTCAACAGGCACCTCTGCTTATTGTTATGGTTCAGGGCCAGACTAGAGATGCTGCTAAACGCCCGTATTCAACTGTTACACGCAAATCACTCGCTTTCCTCCTGCTGGGATCATGTTTCCTGACTCTGACCCTGAGACCTCCCAAGCGGAGCCCCTTGCAGGGCGGCTCGGCCACCTCCCGAGCATCCTTCCCCCGGCCACAAACCCGCTGAAAGCTTTCAGACCCCCACGGGGGAAACGGCTCACCAGGCGCCGGGAAGCAGGCGGGTCGGCCGCCTTTCCTCTCCAGCCTGCCCGCTCCCAGCCAGCCCTTCAGCCCGGGCGCCGCGGGACGGCTCCGAGCTCGGAGGCCGCGCGTCTCCCCCCGCCGCTG